CCGGAAATTTGAGAAGAGTGGAAATACATGATTAAATAAGAGTGTAGTGCTTTTGATAAATATACTAAATGAGTTTTACTCCTTATTGGGCAATTGGTTTGAATAAGGAGAGGAAATGCTTTGAGAAATGTTGTGAGACTATGTTTGAACTAATGTGACTATTTGTTAAATGTTGCCTTAAAAATGTTGATGAATTCACATTAGAAGAAGTTTTCTTGTTACTAAATGCGGGAAGTGTTGTTTGCATTGGGTGGAGATGAATTCTGATGTGGATGACAAGTAGTTGAAATGACAAATGAAAATTGTGTTGAAATTGTTGGTTTTTGAGAAACACTGTGAAATTACATGTTTACCATTTTCGTATAAAGTATTATTTTCAAGTATGCCTTTTATAATGAAAAGCTTAAGTTTTATGAAGTTACATGCTTACCCATTTACATTGCATCAAGCATTATGATTTTTAAGCATGCCTCTTATAAAGAAGAAAAGCATAAGTTTTATGAGAAAAGCGAGGATTGAGAAAGTAAAGATAAAAGTGATTTTCAAACCACCCTACGTAGTACCCATCCCCCTTTTCATATTATGTGATGAGTCTGCGCATGCATATGATTGGTTAATTGCCAGCTTGAGTGGGTCGAAGGCCCGAGCGGTGTATGATTCTGCCTGGTAGGATTTGATTATGTCGGCCCGAGCGATGCATGGTCTTGTTGGGTCAAAGGCTTGAGCAGTGTTTGATTCCGCCTAGCAGGATTTGATTGTGTTGGCTCGAGCGATGCATGGTCTTGTTGGGTCAAAGGCTTGAGCGGTGTTTGATTCTGCCTAGCAGGATGGATTTAGTGGTTCAACACGCGCGATGCTAGATCTTGTTGGGTTGGACGAATTTACACTTGGGTACTAGTTGGGGTGAGAGTTTTTAGTGATTAGTATCAGAATCAGTTTTTCAATTAAGAATCAGGAAATAGTTTTAGTATTTAATGGTAAAGCAGTATTAAACTCAAAGTTTTTCTGTTTTAGTTAACTCTATAGTATTTAGTTTAAAGTTCAGTTATCAGCATAAAATTTTCAGTATTCAGAAATCAAACATCGGTGCATTGTTTTCAGAAATCAGTTTTCAATTTCATATCATCAAGATAGTTATCATTTATTAATACTGATTTTATAAGCCTAATTCAGGCATTTGAAATATGATTTTAGTAATGTTGTTTTAAAGACATGAGAAATTTGAGATGCATGAGTATTAATTTGCACGCATAAACATTGGTTGTATGTTTTAATAATGTTGTTCCAAAAACACTAAATAAGCATTTATTGAGTGATGATGTGGATGTTTGCAGTATGATTTCTTTTTGTAGATTATCATAATCAGATTAAGTTTTTAATATCAGAAAAACTATGGGTTAATTGCATTAATCACAATTGCACGAAGTCTCTGTTATGTACATACAGTGGCGGATCCAACCACTTTTTGGGTGGGCCTCTCAAATTTTTTTTTTAATATTAATATATATAATTTATATATTTTGGCCCATCCTAACAAAAATATTAATGGATAAAAATAGTAATGTATAATAAATTTTTATTTTGGCCAACCCTAAAAGAAATTTCTGGATCCGTTACTGTGTACATGACATTCATAAAGCATTATTTCTTTTCAGTGATACGTCTGTCTGTGATGTTTCGGATGTTTGCAACATGACCTTTTAGAGCTATTGTTTTTTAGAGTCATAAGTGTTCTTTGAGTGATGACATAGATGGTTGCAACATGATTTTTAGAAAACACTGTTTTCAGAAGCATGAGCATTTATAGTTATATTTTAAGTTTTCAGAGAAAAGTTTTGAGTGTGTTGTATCCCGTTCACATGTAAGGGTTTGAGAAAATTGCAAACATGTTTATTTGAAGGTGTTTTTAGTAAGCATGAAAAATCATTGTTTGTATAAAAGCTTTTTAGAAAAATCTGATACCTCGGTTTTTAGGTTTTATAAAATGAATGTGCTATGCTTTTTTTTATTTTCAAATACATATATATATTATATGCTATGTTTTTCATGACAAATCAAGAGAATGTGTTTTATGAGAAGTATATTCAAAAAACAAATTTTTAGGATTTCACAGCTTTTCACATGGCATGTCTTGGTCACCCGAGCCTCATAAGTGCGTCCAAACTCTATAGGATAGGAAGGGTCGGGGGGCGGGTTGTGTCAATAACTATTTCTTTTTGTCATATTAAAATTGCAGATTTTTAGAATGAGTTTACTATTCCTAAGAATATCTTGTAACGATTTTTAGGATGAATATACTGTTTTTCCCAGAAGTTATCTGAGATTCACATTCATAATTCATGTGTTAGTTAACGTTGCAATATCATATGTATCGACATGTGGTGCCTTTGTAGACCAAGCGATTGGTCTATGATAAGATGTCAGGACTCTTTTCACTTAGTTTTATGATTAGAGGTGTGATTTTCTTTTGTAAAGTAATTCATGTGTTTATAATATCTAATATAAAATGATTTTTTTTTTTTTTTTTGGTGAAAGCCTCAAGTCTTCTCATACCCAAAGGTATGAGAATAATCTCGATCGGTTATGAGACTAATCCCGATCGGGGCTCGGATAAGTACCCCTGGCCACAAGGTGCTTCCAGTGTGGTTCAAACCCTTGACATTGCAGTTAAAGTTCATCCCATTTGGGGCCTAGTTACCAGTAAAGTCATATTATACATCATGGGTTAATACGAAAATTAAAAATTATACATCAATTCAAATAAGAAACTTAAAAATAATAATTTAAGGAATTTTAGTTTTCACATTTCAAGTAAAAAATTGAGTGAATTTGTAACTTTCAAAATCTTCTAGGTGGAATTCTTAACTCAAACCACCTCATGGGTGAAAATGTTTTAATGTCTCCTGTATAGTAGCAAGGTCATCTCCTCAAAGATGAAAATAAGTTTCCCATTTGCATATATAAGTTAAAGAAACAGTGAAAAAGATTAATTGACAACATCAAGGACCAGCTTTCGTGACTTTAGGACTGACCATCTCAAATGCCAGTAGTAAGCTGCTTGAAGAAGAGCGAGTGATCCCATATGCAAGTTCCTAAACTGAAATGAAGTTAGAATTATGCAAAGGTATTTGAAATACAATCATGAACTCCTCAACTCCCAACTCAAATAATGTTGCAATTACAACATTATCGAATCAAAAGATATATAGTTGTGCACCACCACTCAAAATGAAGGATTTGATGAGTGTTAAATCACTATTTTGATTAAGGATATCTCAAATTCAAGTGTTAGACCCAAAAAGTTGTTTATGAGCACACTTGGTAAGTAGGGATGTCAATGGGGCATTTTGACATCCCTATTGGAGCAATCACACTATAAATCCTCATGATGATATATGTTGACTAGCTAGTTATGCAGTTCATCACCATTTCATAAACAATGATGAAAACTAAAAATATAAAAACTATACCATTACAATTAGACATCTTGTTGGATATAACACTTGAAAGCAATAGAGACATTTCTGTAAGATACTTACAAGGAATTTAGACATTTTGGTAAGCTTTTTCTCTTCATTCTAAGATAATTTTGAAGTGCAATAAGGTAAGAATTTACCGCTTTCCTCTCTTCCATTTTTGGCTCAGCCGCCCATGTCAAAAATGTTACAACATCTTTCCCCATCTCAGCCAACATTGTCAAAAGAATATGTTAATTCACTCTTTCTAGAGAAACCAAAAAGATATAATGGACAGGTTAGGCGATTACCTGTGACTGTTGGTAGGATACCCATCTTCATATTCAACTACACTGTCATTAAACCTCTTGGGCATAGCTATTACCCCACCAGGAAGGTAAGGATTATAGTGCAGCCCTTCTCAAATCTACAACAATAATTCCAAGACAGAAAAAGAGATATACATCTATACGTTTAGAACCATAGAGCAACATTCAACCCATTCAAGGAATTTAGCACAGCCAGAAATCCGAATGTACATATTGTCAGCAACATTCATGCAGGTGCTAGACTAACAGAAGCATATTTATGGGATTGAACTCAGGCAAACAGGAGATTATAACAACATTATGAAGATTTCAAACTACTTGAACCTTTCAAAAACACGGATTTGGACGATGTAAATTAATAATTTAGTAAAAAAAATTATTTAATTGTTTATTTATTTAAGTTTAAATTAAAATTGCTCATTGTGAAGTGTAAATATTATATTTATGTCAAAATTAAATTATCTCTTTAAATTAAAACCATTATAACCGTTCATTTATATTTATTTACTAATTAATTAAAAAATTTACAAATCACCCCTAAAAATTAGTAAACCACCTTACATAATTTCTAATTTAACCTTAAATATAAAAAAATATTAACGGTGGTAAAATAAATTTTCTAAACCCATAAGACCGATTGTATTGGGCTTAGGCCTTGCCTACCTCTATCTACTAATTGGCAACCGCTAATCTCTTTACTAAATCTTTAGGCAACAAATGTCGTCGTCATCTTCTGCATAAGTTGGGAGTGTTAGACATCTATCACCCACTAACTTCGGGGGATATTGGAATAATGATTGTAATCTGTTCTTATTCTTCAGATTGTTTTAATTACTTCAATTTTATTCAGTTAGTTTAAATAGGCTAAGTAATTGTATTTGTACAGCTTAGGTTATTGTTAAGTAGTTGGAATACAGCTATACTAACTCTAGTTAAATATAATACCTAGTTAAGTATTCTTTTAGAAACTCCAGTTGAAGATTAGTTTAGATATAAATGAGTTAATATTGCGAAGTGTACGAGAGACTTGAACGATGAGTTAACGAAGAAAGTGGTTTTCTAGGAAGTTATTCTTTCTCTATTCGTTGCTTCCTTACAATCTAATTATAAGAACCAAGAAATATCGAGGAAATGCTATCCTCCAAGACATAATTATCTTCTCTATTTTACTTGCTGGTCTCATTTCATTCTCTTCCTTGAAAACCTGACAAAAACCATGGGTAACGTCTTCTCTTTCTCAATCTCAGGTGATGAAATTTTATCTCGTTGCCTGGATTGCACGGTTGCGAAAACTGCATACATAAGAGACCTCGAAGACAAACTTGGTGATTTGCAAGCCGAATACCAAAAATTGATTGAAGCAAGGAACGATGTAACGAAGAGGGTTATGATTGCTGAAGAGCAACATGAAATGAAACGGCTGGACCAAGTGCAAGGCTGGCTTTCAAGGGTGGAAGCGGTGGGAACTGAAGTTGAGGAGATAATGAAAGATAGCTCTCAAGAAATTGAGAGATTACGTCTTGGCGGCTATTGTTCCAGGAACTGCAAATCCAGCTTCAAGTTTGGAAAATGGGTGGCTGAAAAGTTGCGAGCTGTGGCCACTTTAAAGAGTGAAGGAGATTTCAAAGATGTGGCTGAGAGGGTACTAAAAGATTCGGTTAATGAAAAACCAATTGATCCAACGATAGTTGGTATGCAATCCATATTTGATAGAGTTTGGAGATGCCTTGGAGAAAAGCAAGTGGGAATTATAGGACTACATGGCACAGGAGGAGTTGGTAAAACTACACTATTGACTCAAATCAACAACAACTTCTGCAACGAACGAAATGATTTTGATGTTGTGATCTGGGTAGTGGCGTCTAAAGACCACCAAGTTGAGAAGATTCAAGAAGAGATTGGGGAAAAGATAGGTTTGTCAAGCGAGTTGTGGAAGAAAAAAAGTCTCCGTTATAAAGCTGATGACTTGTTCAAGATTTTGAGAAAGAAGAAATTTGTTTTATTATTGGATGACATTTGGGAGAGAGTTGATTTAAAAGACGTGGGAATCCCTCATCCAGATCCAAACAATGGATCAAAAATAGTTTTTACCACTCGTTCTGTTGAGGTTTATGGCCATATGGAAGCTCATAAACATTTTAGAGTGGAGTTTTTGGAAAATGAAGAAGCATGGAACTTGTTTCAATCAAAGGTTGGAGAAGACACTCTTAACAATCATCCAGATATTCTTGAATTGGCCAAAATTGTAGCCAAAGAGTGTGGTGGTTTACCGCTTGCACTCATTACCATTGGTAGAGCAATGGCGTTCAAGAAGACACCTGAAGAATGGAGCCATGCCATTCAAGTCCTAAAGAGATCAGCCTCTGAATTTCCAGGTATGAATGAAGTGTATCCTCGTTTAAAGTTTTCTTACGATAGTTTGCCGAACGACAAAGTTAGATCTTGTTTCTTATACTGTAATTTATTTTCTGAAGACTTTAATGTTCTTAAAGGGGACTTAATAGATTGTTGAATAGGTGAGGGATTTTTAGATGAATATGAGGGAATTGGAGCTCGAAATCAAGGATACCACTTTATTGGTATTCTTCTCGTTTAAAGTTTTCTTACGATAGTTTGCCGAACGACAAAGTTAGATCTTGTTTCTTATACTGTAATTTATTTTCTGAAGACTTTAATGTTCTTAAAGGGGACTTAATAGATTGTTGAATAGGTGAGGGATTTTTAGATGAATATGAGGGAATTGGAGCTCGAAATCAAGGATACCACTTTATTGGTATTCTTCTCGTTTAAAGTTTTCTTACGATAGTTTGCCGAACGACAAAGTTAGATCTTGTTTCTTATACTGTAATTTATTTTCTGAAGACTTTAATGTTCTTAAAGGGGACTTAATAGATTGTTGAATAGGTGAGGGATTTTTAGATGAATATGAGGGAATTGGAGCTCGAAATCAAGGATACCACTTTATTGGTATTCTTCTCGTTTAAAGTTTTCTTACGATAGTTTGCCGAACGACAAAGTTAGATCTTGTTTCTTATACTGTAATTTATTTTCTGAAGACTTTAATGTTCTTAAAGGGGACTTAATAGATTGTTGGATAGGTGAGGGATTTTTAGATGAATATGAGGGAATTGGAGCTCGAAATCAAGGAGACCACTTTATTGGTATTCTTCTTAATGCATGTTTATTGGAAGAAGTATCCAGTACTGTTTATGATAGGGTGAAAATGCATGATGTGATACGTGATATGGCTTTGTGGATAGCATGTGAAGTTGAGAAGGAGAAGGAAAACTTTTTGGTCCATGCAGGTGCCAGACTAACAGAAGCACCAAAGGCTGACAAATGGATAGGGTTGAGAAGGATATCATTAATGGAAAATCAAATAGAGAACCTATCAGAGGTTCCTACATGCCCTCGCCTCCTCACATTGTTTCTGAAGGACAATAGATTGAAGATGATAAATAATGACTTCTTTCAATCTATATCTTCTCTAAAACTTTTAGATCTTTCATTTAATCCTCTCACCAAGCTACCATCAGGAATCTCGAAGTTGGTTTCACTACAACATCTTGATCTCTCAGGGACTCAATTAGAAGAGTTGCCAAAAGAGTTAAAGGCTTTGGTTAATCTTAAATGTTTGAACTTGAACGGCACAAATCATCTTCGTACAATTCCGCGTAAATTGATATCTGAGTTTTCAATGTTACGCGTATTGAGAATGTTCTATTGTGGTTTTTTCAGTGAAGATAGCATTTTGTTTGGTGGAAATGAATTTTTAGTGGAGGAATTGCTTTGTTTGGAAGTTTTGAATGTGTTAAGCATCGACTTACGGAGTAACTCTGCACTCCAAAAATTTTTTAGCTCTCGTAAGTTACATAACTTGATCAACTGTCTGAGAGTTCATCGTTTCGCGAATATTAAGTCCCTTAATGTTTATTCTTTAGCAACTATGAAGCATCTCGAAATTCTACACATTTCAGATTGTGAAGATTTGGAAGAGGTGAAGATTGAAATAATATGTGAAGTCCAAGAGATACGAGAACCTCATGGTTTTCAAAACCTCCGGTCAGTACATTTATGGTCTTGCTTTAGATTGAGGGACTTGACGTGGCTTATTCTTGCTCCCAATCTCAGGTCTTTGTTTGTTGGGAATTGCTCTGATATGGAAGAAATAATCGGTATCTCAAAGTTTGGTGAAGTTCAACAGATAATGGGAAACTTGAACCCATTTGCAAAAGTCAATGATTTTATACTAGGAAAACTGCCAAAATTGAAAAGCATCCACCGGAATGCCTTGTCTTTCCCACTTCTGCAGGAAATGAATATATCTGAATGTCCACTACTTAAGAAGCTTCCACTTGATTCCAGTCTCGCAATCACAAACAGACTTGAATTTGTTATCAGAGGAGATAAACATTGGTGGGAAGAGTTGGAATGGGACGATGAAGCTACTCAAAATGTTTTTCTACCCTTTTTCAGATCATTGACGATTAACAGGCATCAAAATGAATGTGGAGAGCCTGAAGCAGAACTTGGAAGTGTACATAATTATGTATTTTGATTTAAAACCTTTTAATTTGTTCGTATTGTGGACACTTTGTTTCTTGCATGATGTTTAACTTTTTCCAGATTTGCTTTGTTTGACGGGAAGCTCGTTAGATACTGGAAATATTATCTGATGAAGTGTCAAGATTCATTCATTAACTATTTCTTTTTGTCATATGAAAATTGCAGATTTTTAGAATGAACTTTACTGCTTTTCCCAGAAGTTATTTAAGATTCACTTTCGTAATTCATGTGTTAATTAACGTTGCAATATCATATATATCTAATCTAAAATGAAACATGTATTATTATTAGAGGTGTGATTTCCTTTTGTGAAGTAATTCATGTGTGTAATATCTAATCTAAAATGAAACATATATTATTATTATTTTTATTTTGTGAAAGCCTCGAGTCTCCTCATACCCAAAAGTATGAGACTAATTCTGATTTAGGCTCGAGTAAGTACTAAAGGTGAGCAGGTATCCCATGGAACTAGAACCAATCGGTCCCTATATGCTTTGAATTGGAACCTGGGTTTTTCTCGTTCCGGTTCCAAGTAGTGAAAGTACCCAACATTATTCACAAAATAAAAATATTAATATTTTATTAATTTTTCTCTCTCCTCTCTTATCTTTCGTTCTCGTTCTTTAAACAACTTTTACTCTTTCTTCTGCAAGTTTCTTCAATCCCCTCATTGTTTATACATTGACCCCTCATCGTTTAATTATATACGGTTTTAGTTTTGGTTCTTGGTTCTTGCAGTTTGAAACCAAAACTGGAATCAAAACCAGTTGATTCCTAATTTTTAGAATCGTAACCTACTCTATTTTTAGAATCGTAACCTACTCAATGAAGATCGGTTCCAAGTAGGAATTAGAATCGAATCTCGAGTACCTACCAGTTCTCATTTCAGCTAGTTCTTTTACACACCCCTAATAAATACACCTGGCCATAAGGTGTTTTCAGTATGATTTAAACCTCTGAGATTGTAGGTAAAGTTTGACTCATTTAAAGCCCACCTACCAATATAATCGTATTATATATGTTAATACGAAAATTAAAAATTATACATCAATTCAAATAAGAAACTTAAAAACAATAATTTAGAGTATTTTAGTTTTCACTTTTCAAGTGAAAAATTGAGTGAATTTGTAACTTTCAAAATCTCCTAGTTTTATTTGTTACTTAACTCAAACTACATCATGGGTGAAAATGTTTGTTATAATATCTCCCGTATAATAACGAGGTCATCTCCTCAAAGATGAAAATTAACTTCCCATTTGCGCACTTAAGTTAAAGAAAGAGTGAAAAAGATTAGGATAATACTACACCAATTGGCAAGTTTTAAATTGGAGGAACTTGACATGGCTGATTCTTGCTCTAAATCTTAAGGATACTTACTTGGAAGACATCATATGTTCTGGAAATTTGATTAAGTTCGAGAGATGAAAAATCTGAACCCATTGTATAACTCATTTCTTCATTTATAGCTTCTCTTAAATTTGAATAGCATCTATTCAAGTGCCTCGCCCTTCACAAGTTTGAAAGAGATCAATGTATGCATGCCCAAAGCTGAAAAATAGTGGTATGGTTTTTGTTATATATATTATTAGAAAAACCCCCCTTTCTTGACGGGTTTCCTAATAACTTTTACTCGTCATTAAAACTTCTGTCAAGAGAGCAAGGTAACTGTTTTTAAACTATTAAGAATTTTTTAACAGATTCTTGACAATTATAACCCGTCAAAGATTCGATATAATTTTAATCAATCATTGACCGTCTTTGAACTGTTAAAAGTTTTTAACCAAAAAAAAAAAAATTTAAATATTTTTCGGCAAGTATTTGTTTAAATACTTTTATTTTGTGATTAGTTTACTTTTCATATTATTACCAATTAAATAATAGAATAATGAAATGAAATTCTTCGTAATATTCCTCGACCAACAACAATTATCACAATTCATAAATAAATTTAGACATTCAACAACCTTTAAATTAATTTAGTAAACGAAATTCAACAAAAATAGTATATCATCCAACAAAAGTTTGATACATATCAAAATCAACATAATTTAATATGCAGTTACTAGTCTCACATTTTAACTGATATCTCTTCCTTCAAACCAGTGATTTCTGCTAGGGAAGAAGCAACAGCATCTTCCTTTACTGCAGCTGCTGAGGCTACTTGCTCGGACTTCAAAATATTTTCCATTTCAAGCTCAGAAACCCTCTCTCTAAGTGAAACAGCTTCGGCTTCTAATGATTTCTTTAACTTTTCCGCCTAGTTGAATGAATTTAGAAGAAAATAAAACTTAGCATATCAACTGAAATTGCTGAAACTCATCTTTGAGAGCTAAAAAGACCAAAGGTACCTCAGTCTTGAAGTTTTCATGAGCGACTTCCATCTGCTTCAGTGCATCTTCATTTACTTGTGCTATGCCCTTATACTGCAATTTCAATGTGAACTGTCACATAACACACAAATTCGGCAACAGGACAGTAAGCACTTTCTCATGCAGCACATATACATGAACTGCAAAATAAGTACAAAAGGTCATCACCTAAACCAAGCACACAAGCACATATACATGCAGAAAATTGCCATGGTGTAAACATGAAAGTCACTCTCTTTACCCAAATGTAAGAACTATGGCAAAGCTAGATGCTTCCCATAAATAAAGCTAAACAAGAAACACTAGCAGTTCTGAGATGAATCATTAATGGCATTCGTAATAATTTAGGTCCATCTTCTTTCAACTGTCTAATGACCGCCAAAACATGCCCTAAGAAAAGAAGTTCAACACACCTCCCCACTTCTCTGAGTCCTGAATCCAGGAAGAATACTCTTCGTTGGGCTTTCCAAGAAAAACTTCAGAATATTTTAAAGGATAACTTGCCACAGTTGCCGCTATAACCTTCAAAAGTTCATAAATCACAGTGTTAATAAAATCAAATAGAAAAGGCAATACAATATGTCAATTATATCACTCATACATAGGTCTGTTCAATAATGTTTGTAGCATTTGTTTTCAAAATAATAATTAAAATGAAAGACCGACAGACAGATAAAAGCACTTTGCATAACTTCTATGCATCATTAATCTCACATGACACAAGTAGCGCATATAGTAGATGTATCAAGCTAAATAGATATTCCCATGGTTGGGGGCTGGACCTTGGAGGAGAGACCAACCTTGGGCCCGGTCCATGGGCCTTGGCCGGTTTTGGGATCAGACTTTATAGGACCGGTCCTAGGTCCATGCCCGAATTCTCACCTCTACTCTCAATTAGTGGTCGCATTTTTTAAGACAGAATATACTCTTTAACTAATGAGATGATTGAAGTCATAACATGTTTATAAGATTTGACTCATATAGACAGAAGATGACAATAGCACCCTGAATATCCCAAACTACTTGACTTCTTCAAAAACACAAATTCGGACAATGCAAATTTTGATAATGTGAATTAAAAATTTAATAAAAGCAAATTTATTTAATTGTTTATTTGTTTAAGTTTAAATTAAATTTACACATTGTGAAGTGTGAATATTATATTTATGTTAAAATTAAATTATCTCTTTAAATTAAAATTACATAAACTGTTAAAATTAAATAATCTCTTTAAATTAAAGCCATTATAATCATTCATTTATATTTATTTACTAATTAATTAAAAAAATTACAAATCGCCCTTGAAAAATTACATAAACCCCTTTACATAATTTTCAATTTAACCACAAATATATAAAAAATTAAGAGGGGTAAAGTAAATTTTTTTACTGAATCAGTTCATTATCATTTTATATACAAGTTGGGTATGTTAGACATTTATCACCCACCAACTTGAGGGGGGTATTGGAATAATGAGTGTAATAAGTTCTTATTGTTTTTAATTACTTCAGTTTTATTAAGTTAGTTTAAATAGTTTGAACAATTGTATCTGTACAACTTAGGTTATTGCAAAGTAGTTGGGATATAGCTATACTAACTCTAGTTAAATATAATACCATAGTTAGGTTATTGTAAAGTAGTTGAGATATAGTTGTATTAACTCTAGTTAAATATAGTACCATAGTTAATTATTCTTTTAGTAAACTCTAGTTGACAATTAGTTAAGAAAGATATAAAAAAGTCAATATTGTAAAGTGGACAAGAAACTTGTTTCTTCTTTCTCTGATTGTTACTTCCTTCTCTTCTTCTTACAATCTCTTTATAAGAAAGAAGAAATATCGAGGAAATGCTATCCTCTCAGACATAATTATCTTCTCTATTTTACTTGCTGGATAGACAAGACAAAAGAATGGCCTTCTCATTGGCTCTAATACCATCAAATAAAAAGAAGAATAAAATAAAGAGAGAAGGTCAAAAGAAAGTTAATAAAAGCTTTTATTGAAATGGGAAGTACAATAAAAAATCTTGATAAGAAGAATGCGTACTTCATCTCAATCACATCAGCTATTTAAAGACCTCTTCCACTAAACCACTTCCCACAAATCTCTCCAACCACTCACATCATATTTACCACTACTACCACTACTAAAATCTTATCTAGATAAAAACAAAACAAAACAACCTAAGTCACTTTCTAACGTGAACAAGCCTCACGTGATAGCTATTTAACTTGGTAAACAAAATAAATAAAATAAATAAATGAACCACAATCACATCGTGCCGTACGTTAAGTTGCACTAATTTTTTACACTCTAAAGCAAAAGAAGTTATATATTCTCTACTTAAATAATTCATGCTAGCTGCATTTTTTGTTAACTTCTCTTGTAGCTTTCTCCCTCTTTCCTTCTATCTATACAAGATGGCCTCAAAAGTTAGACCATAGAACAATTTAATAGTAATTCACCTCACTAGTTTGGACGACAGCGACATCAAGCTCTTGACAGTGTCTTCTTTTTTCAAGTAAATGAATTATTTAGTTATAGACACAATGCAAATTGATAAAATGAGAATTGAGAAAGCTTTATTTTTTTATATTTTCTTTCTTCGCCAAAAGGCTATAATA